CAGAGCACGCAGGGCCACAAACCGAGAATTTGTGGTTTGGCAGCTGGCCTTCGTGGCCAAGCGAGGCTGGAATTCTTGGAGTCGGCTTTCGGAAAGAAATTTCCGTCGTCAAGGGGTTAACTTTCTGAATTTTGTCGCACTACTGCCAAAGAAAATGGCGGGTCAATGTCCAACATTAACATATTGTGATCAACGACTGTTACATGCAAGACCTACTCTGTGACTTCACTGTACAGTACATGTACTTCTCTGTACATGTAATCTGGTTTTAGGAGGAGTAGCACATGAATTGCCCGTTGATTAATCGTAGCAAGTTTTTGATGATCACGCCCTGGGACATATCAAGGGGTGGGGGATGCCGTATTATTTTGTTTTGTTTTTTCCCTTTATTTTCACTACAGAAATTATGAAAAAGTCGGAAACATTGCAGAGTATTTCCAAACAATATTTGTTTCTTTTGGGGGGGTTATGGTTGAGCAAATGGTTCCCATGCACAGTTTAAGACTTGCTCTCATGCTTACGAAGGTATGAAACGGAATTTGAATTTCCGAAGCGGAATTTGATGAAACAGTAAATACCCATTTTTGAAACAGAAAGTCATTGGCTCTAGGGAGGGGGGTCCAAAAAGTCGGTGTTTCGTGCGTACGTATTTTATGGACGGCCCTAATGTGAGCATTTCCAGATAAGTTGAAAGTTAACTCTGGAAAAGAGTAAAGAACTGTGTTCACAGTTCGTGATCGGTTAGACCCAACCTTGGGCAGCCTGATTAATCCCAGCCCGGAAAATGTACCTATGAGGACTTGTCCTTAAACCGGATGTTACGTCATACCCACTTTCGACAGAGAATTTCCGTGCCCTGTGCACCGGGGAGAAGGGCTTTGGCTACAAGGGGTCCACCTTCCACCGTGTGATTCCTGGCTTCATGTGTCAGGGGGGCGATTTCACCAACCACAATGGCACTGGGGGAAAGAGCATCTACGGGGCAAAGTTTCCCGATGAGAACTTCCAGGAGAAGCACACCGCAATTGGTGGGTCATTTGTTGTGTTTGGGGAGAAATTTTTGAAAGACAAAAAAAGGAAGCATTGTATTTCTAATCTGCTGATAAAACTTATTCGATGGGGGGGAACACCTATTGCTGCCAGATTTTTTGTGCACGTCCAATCTCTTGGAATGCCAGTCCTTTGGCATAGAGCAAAATTTCTGAGATCACTTCGGTTATGACTACTATTACTACTTGTATGTGAATGCAAAATTATTCGAAATGACTCGACCCTGTTGTCCGTCTTGCAAGGAAATGAGGCACATTCCAAAGGCGAGTTCACACTTGACACAAAAGCAAACATTAACCTTAACCCCCTAGGCCTTTTTGCTAAAAACCATCCTCAATCCTCCAAAGTCATCCAAATTTTTACATAAAAATTGCATTCAGCCTCAATCCTCCAAAGTTTCTTAAGAATTTTTTTTTTTTGGAGGTGTGCCTACTGCCTCAATCCTTCAAAATCCTCCGGCATTTCCCGTCATTATTTTGAGGCAGTGCGAAGGGTATTCTGGAGCTTTGTGGTTCATTCAAAAGAAATATTGGGCCGAGTTTGTGCTTGACTAAGCAAAAACAACACATGGTCTAATCCACGACCCTCATGCATGGCATTCTTCGCAATCAGCCATGCGCATTTGCCATTCATCCTCAATCCTCCGAAATCCTCCAAAACCGCCCGAAGGATTTTGGAAGATTGAGGAGGGTCAAAAACCCCAGAGTGTGACGTGAGATCAAACATCATGCAGCAAGTTCGCACAAGTTGACCACACTACAGACTGGAGTGAAATTCACTGCAAATGGTCTCTGATTTGCTTATGTGTTTGCCTCATTGCAAAACGGCATTTACCCCGCAACAAACCGGACAGCACACAGGATAAACATTTCGATGCATTGTTAGAAAGGACTTTTTGGTTAGAAAATTATTCGATTTGAGTCGGCCCTGGTTTTAAAAACACCCAGACCGACTTAATAGTACAGTCAAACACATAAGACATGCTTTTATTAATAGGTCTATTTGTGAAATCCCAGAGACATTTCAGATAAGGGTGTTCGACTGTTAATGCAAGTAGTCTTCAGTCTATAACATTTGTAGTATTTCTCATACCAAGGTGGGAATTGGATTGTAAAAGGTTATGGCTTGAAAACGTTGATAACGCTGTGGTTTTGGGGTTCGGGGTCTGTTTTCTTTCCCTTTTTTTTTTTTTGAAGGTAAACTGTCGATGGCGAATGCTGGTCCGAACACCAACGGCTCCCAGTTCTTCATCACAACAGCCATTACCAACTGGCTCGACGGTAAACATGTAGTATTCGGACAGGTCGTAGAAGGCATGGATATCGTGAAAGAAAAGATAGAGAAAGTTGGATCCCAAAGTGGAAGCACCTCGGCCAAAGTTGTTATTGCCGACTGCGGGCAAGTGTAAAGAGCAGAGAGTATAAGGGGTTGGGGGCCGGTAAGAAGGTACGAGTTACTCCCCCCATCCCCAGGCGATCATACCCCTTAGATGCAGTAGTGAGTGAATCATCATAGGTTTGCATTTAATTGAAAATTTCTGGTATTAGGAGTTGTGGTCCAAGAAGCATTTTTATTGGAGATTGTATCTTTCTTTTCCCCTCCAGAAGCAGGTAGTCGATTAAAGCGTATGTTTTTGTAGGAACCCTAAGGAGTTAATTGCTTCTTATTGTTAGGATATTGAAATTGGACAGATATGCAATGGCGACTTGACATTCTCCCGGTAGTCTGGATTGTTAATTGGAAATAGTTTACAGTCGGTGTATTGAACAAAGTTCAAATTGCAAAACTCATGTTAGTTTTGTATGCGGTAATGGAAAAAGAGCCTAGAATAAGTCATACCAGTTCAACTTGTGGCAATCAGCCTCTACCTGTCTATGATGGTGATTTTATGTATAAGGACTGGTAATGACAGGCGTCATTAAATGCCTTTTCATCAGGGATTTCACTGTACTAGACTTGTCAGGCTTGTCCCACCCACTCTCTCGTCACGATGTACTGAAGCACTGCATGATTAGTTTTTGTATTGTGGTTAAAAGAAAAAAAATGTTGTGAGAATGCATGACATGAGCAGCAGAGGACTTTTCCGAATTTGTCAACGTGGGTAGAAAAATTATGATAATTTCCAGACGGAGATCTACTCTTGCAGGCTGACGATCAAGCACACCGATATTGTATAAACCTGTATTAAGCACGCGGATTTCTTTCAACCCGCACCATCTTGAAAGTTAACCGCTAGAAAATTATTTGGTTCAAATGTATGGGTGAATTTTGAACACCTCCAGGGGCACACAAATAAGTTCTGCCTGAAATAAACAGCCTTTTGCGAGTCGACTTTGAACAAAATCTGGTACACCGAGTGACTTGCTTGCTCATAGATACAACAATTTGACTTCCCCAGACTAAATACATGCACACCGTTGCTCTTCCCCCCATGATTCAGGGAAAGCTTTTGCATAGGGACCACGATCTCTGGAATGGACTGGTTCCTTTGTGCCCTTCTTATCCAGTGAAAACTGTCTATTGGTGCAAGGCGTCTCTTATGTAACCAAGCTCAAGCTTGCCCCGAATCACGAGGTATAGCAACAGTGTCTTTTGTGCGGAGAATTCAAATTGTTGTTTATGGGAATTTAAGGAACTCAGTGCACCAGATCAAATTTAACTCGCAAAAGGCCAATAGTGCAAAACATTCTGGCGACTCTCGATTGGAAAAGAACTGTCACTCCCCAAAAGTACCCAGCACTACATACTCATAGCATCACAAGTACAAGAAATGGTAAAAACCGTCACTTTATAGAGTACACAGTCAATGTTCAAGCATTTAATAGCAGCCAAAACACCACTGCGGTTGTGAGGGAGACACCTTTTACAACATCTGAAATGTGAAACAGGAATGTGATACCAACGTCTTTGCTGTTTAGAATAGTGTTAAGACCTGGGCCACATAGTGGATTTCTACAGGTGTACTTTGTCTTTACATGTTATACATGTGAAGGGAAGGCAAAAGATCCCATATCACATTGGAAGATCCATACTTGATTATTTAGTTGCCAATAAATGACACTGCAGTGTATGCGGATGGCATGGTGTGTGTGTGTTCTTTGCTGCCGCTCGGTCGGGTACCACGGACAAATCCGGCGTACGGAATTCCGGCTGTCATGTTCGCAACGCGGGTCTTCGCGCCTTACGGTGCGCTGCCACTCATACGCCGAAGTGCGCACACGCACTCAAGATGTGCACGAGTGTGGTTGCCCCGCAGGAGTGGCGTCTTCTTCGATTTGCCTACAGTACCTAACCCTGACCGTTGAAATTTTTGAGTCCCATGCAGAAACAAATGCACTGTTCTAACGTAATGCACTGTTCTAACGTGTAATGCATTGTTCTAACACGACAATGGCATGCACTACACTATTTGTACACTAAGTTTGCCTATGCTGATCAATCGCGTGTATAAACGCATGTACTTTTCTAGCTGTTCTTAGGTGCAAGCCCTGTTATGCAAACAATTCCAATGCTCTTCAGATAAAATTATAAAATTGCAGAATTGTGGCGCATGCGGTGTTTACTGTAGTGCACGCACAGGCCCCTTTATATTTTATTTACTGCGCGTCAAGTTTGAAGATAAATTCATTATTGTGCTGGTGCAGTGCGTCTGTGTACCGTATACCACTCGGCTGCATACGGGACACAGACGCACTACATTTTTAAGTTTGAGTATTTTTCATTGTCGATATCAAGACGGTGTAAGGTGTACACCATGGAGTTGTGTACAGTACAATACATATACTATCATACCAGTTGTTGCCACAGATCAACCAATCAGAAATGCGGATTCAGGTATTTCTTGAAGATAAACAGAGTTAGAAATATGACTCTGTTCATCGGCAACATTTGTCTGCACTATGCAAAAACACAGAGTGGTTAAAATCACCATGCACTACCACTAAATTACATTTTAAGTGATTTTGTCTTTGTATCCAGAAAAAAAAAACTTTGCTACCAAGATTACCAAAAACCAATAATCATACTACTGCAAGTTTAGAAATGTGAACAAAATGTTGAGCATAAAGAGACTTTTAAATGTCCACTAGCAATCAATGAACAAAATTCTTTTTGAACATTTGCTGTACAGTTTTGCTTGGTGAAGCATTTCAAATGTACTATCTTCAAGCAAAAATGAACAGCAGAACCAATTCAATAAATATTTATTTTTATTATAAGCAAATTCTTAAAATCAGACTGTTTTCAGTGACAACTTTTCCCCTTACTGTTGCTGTGTCAAACAGAGGGTTAAATGCTCAGCTCAACATCATTTCTCTCTAATTTGGGTCTCTGGATAAAGTACAGACGCTGATATTTTTAAGGAGAAAATTACCGTTTTCACTCTGAACAACGTATACAGATAAAAACCTTTGAACTGAGTTTGGGTCCCTGTGTGACTCATTTCCTTTAGTCAGAGTCACAAATAATTCTGTTGGTTTCCATTTTCAAACATATTTTTCTCTGGTTTCATTCCTGTATATGGCAAAGTAATTCACCAAGACGTGCATTTATTATGGATGGGCCAAACATCTCTGACCAACACCACATACATGTACAATACAGTGTAAACAAGAATGTACACTACAGTCTTATCTTACGGTACCAATGAATATTCAGTATTTTAACACCTCTTGCTGATTCCTTATGCTGGTTGGCTGGAAAATGGTCACATGGGGTTCACAAATATAAACCTGTTCACGTCACGCATCAGCATGGATTGGACATGTGCCAAGACATTGTGTGTGCGAATCCCAGAGACTTGAATTTTTTGATTTGTTACAGCGCCCTCACGATAGGAACTAGAAGCGTTCCTGTCATTATGGAATGGCTAGTTGAATTGCCAATATGGGTGTACGGTTGAATTCAAAAAAAGAGTACAGTAATATGAAACCCTAAACAGTTTCTTACTTTACATTTTTGACAGAGGTGCGTTATCAAACACATTTGGACTGGCATAATTTGGTCACTGATGCACGTCCATTTGGGTGACCACAAGTGGGTCCTGTCTCCCTTAGCCTCAGGGAAACAGCCCACTATTGGTCACTCAGGGTGTCCCTGTGGGCACATAGGCACGTACTAGAGACCTCAGTGCCAGTCCATATGTGTATACTACAGTGCTACAGTCACGATGTACTACATTTAAGAATTAGGCAGTCAATATTTCTAGACACCGATTATAGCCAGAGGGAAATGCCGACTACAAACACTGGACACTATTACATCAGACTGGTATTTGGGAGGTGAACATGATACATGCATGTGATTCTAAGAATGAAATCCTGATGATCCTTTCATAACTAAAGATTTAAAGCGGCGCAATCTTCAGAGCAGAATGGTCACATTTAGCGCCATTTCACACAATTTTTCAAACACCGTACACGTACTTGGATTTTGGCAAATATAGTTTCTCCTTTGTTTAAAACCTTACAGCGCAATTATATATTTCAAACTAAACTGACAAAAAACTCCTCCAACTTTCCCAAAATTCCAAACAAAATAAAGCCCCTCTCCAAAAAAAAAGACTGGTTTCAAGGAAAGTTTGCAACAAAAGACGTGCACTTTCGGTGCAGATAATTTAAAAGTTGTATGTACAAGCTGCGTGACAGATACAGAGTCTTACCAAAAGGCGTTGAAGTACCCCATGGTTTCCACGAGATCGACTGCAACTGAAGTAGGCAAGTGTTTGGTTAAACGGTACGCTGTAAATGAGACAGTCTCATTTCAAATACAATGATGTGCAGTACTAGCTCTGCCCGCCCTGTGGGCATCGAGTGCGGGATTCAATGGTTCTGTGCCAACGGTCCCAGATTGACGGTGACCGGGTGCTGCAACCAAACCGTCTCCACCTCGCTCTGCGTCTCCGTGGTTGTGCGCAGCGAAGGGGTGGCGTTCTTGTAGTCGTACTTAAGCTTGAATGCGATCTGGAAAGGAAAAAAAAACAATGAGCACATGTTCATCAAAATCACTCACTACTCTACTGACGGTGTTTAGTGGCCTTGCTAGCGCCAGTCTAGTGGTCGTTACGATGACATTATTTGATAACGCTGTGTGACTATTAAGCTGATCTTTCCTGTGAAGGAATGCTGCGTCTGGAAGAAGCTTTCATATGGATTCTCCAGCGTGTGACAAACGTGATCTCTTTTCTGCCCTTAGAGGACACTGAACACAATGGAGCTTGGATGTGGGATTCTGTTAGGAAGAGTTGTTGTCGCACTCGACTGATGTACTGTATATATTCGTGATCGAGAGCCAAATTCTCATTGGTCCATTCACCATCACGTGCCAGTTGCTATTTGTGCAACTCATCTGGCTCATAGGTGAGGATCCACACTTGAGTCAAATACAACAGGGTAGTAATCTATTCCCCTCTTACGATGTGAATGCTTTATGAAGCTACCGTGGAATTGTCTCTCTAGTGAAGTGCCAACCCAAAAGCATCGCCTTAGCTACACATGAAGAGAAGGCAGTATGTCCGAAATAGTAATGGTTAAAATACTTACTGAAATGATTTAGTTTGGGCATGTAGTCAATGTTAGCTCCTCTTGGTTATAGAAGTTAAACCCTCGAACCATTTTATATTTGTCCACAATCTGTTGCCAGTAGCTCTAGACATGTAGGGTTTCAAGTCACGGTTACTATTTCTTTGATTCACTAGGGAACGTATTTACTAGGGCACTTTCATTTCATATACTGGTTTACTGAAGTCACTGAAGCTTTAAAAAAGTTGATTATTATTTCAAGAAGTGAATATTTCTGAGGAGCGTTTATTCCAATACTTACAGTGACATCTCCTACTGCTTTCAAGGGAGTCACTTTGACTAGAATTCCCAGTTTGTGGGCCTTCCGGAAGTGGACAAACCTACAACCAGAAAAAAAAATGCCATGACTCATAACTTTCCCAGCAATCCAAATTCTGCACAGGGTGAGTCAAGTCAGGTCAGTACAAGTCGCCGTGGCTGACGCACTGTTAAAAAATCCTTGATTGGGAGTCCAAAAAGGCTACTTTCCGAGTGCTTGCGGTGATATGCATGTGAGCTTTTCTCTTCTTGAGAAGTGTGTTCTGAAAAAAAACTTGTTTTCTTGTATCTGACACTTGAGCGTTTCCCTTTTGAAAGACGTCCTGCATGCATTGTGCTGCTGATATGTTCTAACTTTAAAAGGTCGTGATAAAAAGTTTGCGAGTAGGCTGACAAAGCTTTAAAAACCCTGCTCTTTGGGGCTTGACCCTAAAAGACCAGGGGTTTTTTTTTTGGACCGTCTCACACCCCCACCCACTGAGTCAGCAGTCCCATGCCCAATCTTTTTTAAATTTGGTATTCACATCAAGACGCTCGTAATCAGCACAAATCACTTCAACACAATCATACAGATTGTTGACCTAGCCTGTAAAAATGGATGCTGCGCAAGACTGGTAGGTCCGATTTTCACAAAATTGGTGTCAAAATGACTGTAAGATATTACTGAAAAAAACCCTGAAGGCTAAGTGCATGAAACAAATGCACGGCGTTGATATCAGGAAAAAAATGTTGAGGGGATCAGATTCCAAAAACACTCAATTTCAAAAATGTTCCCATTAATGAACACAGTTCCCCAATTAGAATTGGTACTCTTCAAAAACAGAGTGATCAGGGTCCCCGTCAAACTTTTGGATGACTGGGAGGGAATTTTATTAGCAAACTGAGCCGCTAAAAATCATTTGGCTGAACAGACTGGTTAGTAAGGACGTGATGAGGTATTTTGGATATTAGGCCTCAGAAAAAAATAAAAATTGTTTCTCGTCTGGGATTTTTGAAGAAAGGGAGGAGACAGCTTGTTTTGTTTTTTGGGACAATTTGCGGATGAATTTTCATGAATCTTTTGCTAACTGTTTTTGGTCTTAAGGAGCTACAACCTCATCTAACCAATTTTACACTTGGAAACATATGCATGTAAAGAATTCATTCAACAGATACAGATGAAGAGGCTCGAAAAAAAAAGAAACCTGCGTGAGATAATTGATTTTTTTTGCTCGGCCAAACTGCATAATCTACTTCAGCCCATTTTTCTTTTGTTCGACTGCAACCCGCAATGTCGTCTTTGAAAGTTACTCTTTTCTCTACAAAGAACTTCAAGCCAAACAGATCAACAAGGTTTCAAAGTTCAGCGTCACAAGGGTTTTTATCTTACTCTGCTTTGTCGCTGTACTCTTTGGTGTCCGTAGACGCATCATCAAATTCCGAAGTGTCATCCTTCGGGGCAAGAGTCAGTTCCTCATCTGGCACAACGACCTTCCCAAAAGACAACCAAGACAAATATTCTTATACTTCCGTCTTGAATACTGGATCTTCATTGGCCAAGACGGATCATGTGACCGGTCAATAAAAATGTAAATGACCCTCATGCTTGGGCATTTCACATTGTGATGTCATAGACCGGTCCCCGCCAGACAGTCCAAACCATAATGCAGGGACTGCTAACCAGACTACTCAAAGTCATTGGTACCCGTGTTAGCGGCGCACTTTAATTTTTTGTCAGTGGTTGAGTGTGTCATGGTGATTCCAAATCAGATGCATTTTGCTGAAACTTGTTTCTTCACATGTAAGTTCTTGGGCATAATTTTTCAAAGGACACAAAGACACTACTTTTGAGCAAGACAGGTGGAACCAACACAATTTTAACCATGCACTGTGTCCATGCATTTTGTACAACTTTCTGGCAGTTATAGACCATGACATCCATTGACTATTCAGGGGACCGGCCATGTTGAATTTAAATGCGAGGTTAACTCTTCATTTTTGAATGTTGAGAGTACAAATGAAGTAATAAAATGACATTTCTTGACAGATTTGCACCTGTCTACTCTGATGAATAATTTTAAATTCATGATTGAACTTACAGAATTGTACACTGCCAGATTCTAAAAATTATTGAAAGGGAGGCTTGGAATGCACAGAAGTATAAAACAGTCTGGTGCCATCCTAATCAACAGTTTGCAATATATATAACAGATTTGGGGAATAAGATCAAAAATGGCCTCCACGTGAATAGGGTGTATTGTTTCAACTGAAGTCCCATGACCTCAGGTGGGGGAAATAGTGCACAGAATTCAAGACTGAGGTAAAATAAAACAATTATTGACTGCAGTCATGTGGAATATAATGGTTCAAATAGCTTTGGGGGCATATGGCATGGATCCCTCGGGGGTTAAACACATCCAATCCCACGTTATCACGGTCAATACCCGTTGATTACAACACTTGCGTCAAATTGCCCTTCTCCCCCTAAATGACCTTAATAATTCTGGGTGCTCAGAGGAAATGCAGACAAGAAATTCGATTTTTATTTTGTAATGTGACACTGCGGAATAAAATTGTGACATGATCACTTATTCCCTTCAAAGAAAAAGATTTTCTGCATAGACGAAAGTTGAAGCAGCATATGAACAAAGGAATCAACATTATTCATGAGTCGGCCATTGTTGAAAAGCTTACTCATAATTTTTAAAACTTGACAGCATCAGTGAAAGAATAAAATGAGATTTCCTGTAAAATGATTGCCTGTCGACTCTGATGGGCAATGTCATATTTGTGATGAAAAATAGTCTAATATTTTACGTCAGATTTGGAAAAAAATAGCAAGGGAAGCTCAGAGCCTAGATGAATTCTGAAATAGTCTGATACCATCCTATGCGGCAGTTAACAATTCATGACACGGATTCAGTGAACAAGATCAAAATCAGCTTCCTCTGGTTTTTTAATAAGGTCCATTAGCCCAAGAAGACACGGTTACCAGCCGATATCATACATCCTGCTTGTGATTGGTTCTCTGCTGAGAAGTTACATGACACTTGTGCTTAGCAGGAGTTTGGAATTGCACTTGTGTTAAAAAAAAACAACTGATCTTCACCTAAAAATCTAGACAGTTGATTGGCCTTTCTCAGCTGCATCTACACACTGGTTCCCCATTCCTTCATTAAAATGTGTGGGGGGAACCAGTCTCAACCACCCCATCATTCAAACAAAAATTGTAACAAATTTATCGCGTGTGGAGTCGTTACAGGGGATGAGAGACACTGAAGTAGTGTCTGTGAAGAGTCCTCAACCGGTCATGGGCCAAAGCCTGGCATCGCAGCAAATATCGCTCAGCGGCAACGACTCAGGATTTCAAAAACAGCAACATTGCGGTGTCCTGAATGCGTGAAACCCTTCGATCAGCATTTATAAAGTTCAACTTGGTACGGGATTGTGGTTGAAAGTATTCTCTCCATTTCAAAGACAGTACTTTCTTGCCGAAAATAATATCCCACTTGGGACAAGTTGTTGAGGAAAAATACCGTCAGCGAAGTGGAGATCTTTGATAAAAAAATTTGTCTGGGCGACTTGTTGGGGTTTCAAACAGGGCAATACCTTGGCCGTGGCCGCATCACTCTCGTTGTCAGTCTTCTCTGGGGATTCCAGCTTGATCGTGGTGGCATTCTGGACTGGATTGGTCACCAGGAGAGTGACCAGGCTCTCCCGCTGGAAGTTGAGCTTGGGCACCAGGAAGACGCGGATGTCCGGGATGTGATGCCTGCAGAGGGGAGAGGGAGAAAGGAAGGACAGAAAAGGGGGGGTGGATGTCACAGACGACTGAGGTGAAAATGATACGGGAGTTTGTACATCTGCTCCGTGCGAGGTTTGACTGTGTGCGCGTGAACAGATCCACGGGCACTAGGCGCAGGCTGCACTGAGCACGTGTGACCGAACCAATGGCAGTTGGGTCTTCGCACGAGCCCATGCGCAAGTTTCCAAATGGTACCACCGACGTCTCTCTTTACAGAAACCACCGTGGAAAAATGTCTGTATGAATGTGAGGCAAGCTTTTTGCCAAAGCGCAAGTCCGAAAACCTTCACAGCTTTGTGGAGGGCACAATTTAACTTGTGAACGCGAGGAGTACAGTGGAAACCTTACAAGGCGATGAGTTGAATCTTGAACTTGATGGAGGAAGGGTTGAACTCCGGCTTGCTCAAATTGTGCTCGCATTCCTACAAAGAACGAAAGAAGGGAGCCGCTGTGAGATTACGCGTTCATTAACAATCGACAGTAGGAAGTGGGATGTCACATCATCTTTTCCCAAAACTGTCAGGTAGAACGTTGTCACGCATGGAAAACTTTTATTGCTTATGCTGGTGAGGAAAAAAAGGAGCTCTTGATATATATACTGAGTCTCTGGCTTTTGGGGCATTTTAGCTGGCTCACCCTGCATCTCTGGGAGCGTTTGATGAGCAAATGCTTATGCCGCGGGTAGAGATCGTTGACAATGGGTGCGGTCATCTCGGGCTGCAAGAAACGTTGACGGATACTGGGAACTGGACAGGGGAAATCAAATGCATAACAGATGATGCAATGCAGCTTAAGCTTCCAACATGATTCAACAAAATTTGTTTTCTTGAATACTGGTACAATAAAAACTTATTTTCAAATGATCTATTTCAGGGGGGGCATTAGATTTACAGGTTAAGAGTATGTTAAAATAATATGAACATTTCGGTAATTTAACCAAGGATAGTTATTGAATGTAATCATCACCTTTATCTCCACAGCTCTCTCTTCGGGGGTGGGGGGGTGGGGCGGAGGGGCGGTGATTGATGTGCGTGGAGAATATCGGTACATGTATGCTCAAACTTACCTTTCTCCAGGACAACTGGCTGGGTGAAGTATTTAGTTGGAACCGGGTCAACATCCTCCAAAGGTTCAATGACCTTGACAGTCACTTCCTCTGCCTGTTCTCCCTCCTTCAAACTGAAATGGAACAGTCCAACCTTAGCACAGCAATGCATTGGGGCAGACAGTTGCATTGAGGATTAGGGAAGGTGTTTCGTGTTTGATTGTAAAGTAAATTGAGAATTTCTGCTCTCCTTCCTTCAAACTGAAATGTAACAGTCCAACATCAGCAATGTCATGCATCAGGATGGACACTTCCACTTGAAGATAAGGGATGGTGTCTGAATATAAGCATGATGTTTGCTGTTCATCTGACCCAAACTTACCAGCTGGGCCCGGCAAGCTTAATGGAAAGTGACGGGTTTGAGTCCAACTCAAGTAAACTTGTGATTTTTTACAATCCCTAGGATGACACTGAGAGCAACGTTTATGAATAAACATCAAAAGGCCAAAACTGTAAAGAAAGTCAGCACAAAGCCCACTGGATTCCTGCGACATAAAATGAACAACACCGGAGGAAAACATCAAGGAGTCTGGTGAGCAGTCCTCAAGTCAGCAAGCATCCAGCTGACCAAAGCCAAACCAACATTACACAGACAGACGACACAGTGTCGTAACTGAGCCCCTTTAAGACCATCACAAGACCCCAAAGATAAACACAAGACCATCGCAAGGCCATAAGACCATCAAAAGACCCCAAAGATAAACACAAGACCATCACGAGGCCATAGGACCATCACAAGACCAAAGCCAAACCAACATTACACAGACAGACTACATAAGGTCGTAACTGAGCCCCTTTAAGACCACCACAAGACCCCAAAGATAAACACAAGACCATCACAAGGCCATAAGACCATCACAAGACCAAAGCCAAACCAACATTACACAGACAGACTACAGTGTTGTAACTGAACCCCTTTAAGACTATCACAAGACCCCAAAGATAAACACAAGACCATCACGAGGCCATAGGACCATCACAAGACCAAAGCCAAACCAACATTACACAGACAGACTACATAAGGTCGTAACTGAGCCCCTTTAAGACTATCACAAGACCCCAAAGATAAACACAAGACCATCGCAAGGTCATAAGACCATCACAAGACCACAATCAGACTATATGACATCACAAGACCTGTTCACAGGACCAATAAATGGTAAACAAAAGCATTCCTTTGTAACTAACTCCCACTTTACTTGCAACTGGTCTTGTGACTGGTCTTGTGACTGGTCTTGTGACAGGTCTTGTGATTGGTCTTGTGATTGGTCTTGTGACTGGTCTTGTGATTGGTCTTGTGACTGGTCTTGTGACTGGTCTTGTGACTGGTCTTGTGATTGGTCTTGTGATTGGTCTTGGGACTGGTCTTGTGATTGGTCTTGTGACCGGTCTTGTGATTGATCTTGTGACTGGTCTTGTGATTGGTCTTGTGACTGGTCTTGTGATTGGTCTTGTGACTGGTCTTGCGAGTTGTCTTGTGACTGGTCTTCTAGGGACTCTGTGCTTGTCTTGAGACAGCCTTGTGTTTGTCTGTTGGGAACTTGTGATGGTCTCAACATTAAAAATGCCTCCAAAGTCCAAACCACATCAAGTTTATCGTACCGACAACCAGACAGGCCAACTTACTTAAAGCTTGACAGTGCAGTCAGCAGACCGCTGGTGCGGCGCACTCCAGAGGATGTAGGGGCCGACAGCTTCTCCTGGATATGGAAGTACGTACGTCGGCGTGTGTACTTTTTCTTCTCTCGTTCTAACTTTTCACGGCTCGCCAGCTGACGGTAATAATCAAGGAGTTCACGGATCTGTTTGAGGGAAAAATTGGATTAGAGATACAAACGAAATACAAAATGATAGAAACACAACAAATTGCTGAATTTCCTTCAATTACATGAATCGTCTTGAAGCTAGGATTGTCTTGATTAGAACATCTTTTTCAACTTTATTTTTGGTAGTCTTTTCTTCAGTAAATATTGCGAGTACCAAATGAAGTCAGTGCTAAATAAACAGCATATAAGAATGCGATGACTACGCCCTTTTCCAGATGACCTTTATGGTCACGGATCAGTGAAACTCAACTCCCTTTTACTAAAGTTATGTATTGCTGAAGGATTTCAAACTGTTGGGATTGAATCTTTCATCATAATAAATAAATAAGAGGATGTTATTTTTATATTTTTACCCTTTTTGTGTGCTCCTTCTCTGGTTCCACCCACGCACCACTGGCTGTACGTTACAAAAAAGAACCAAGATCCATCAACATCAACTAGCGAAGTAACTGCTTGGTTCTGCCTCCTCAAACTTACACAATCTAAAACTTCTGAGGAATTTCAAGGATTGAGGAGGGTTAAGGTGCACGATCAACCTATCCAAGAGACTGAAATATTGATTATTACACAAACCATATGGGGAACCTGACTGTGCGCTTACATATTCATACAAAGGCAAAAAAAGAAATTGACTGGAGCTACCCATCCTCGTGTTGGTGGCTCTTCCAATTTCTCAATCTCTTTTGTTTTTAATGTTTATTTAACCGTAACCCTCCTCAATCCTCCAAAATCCTCCAGGTGGTTTTAACCCCTTCGCCACCGAGGACTGCTACTACCGCACCATTGTGTGAGCATTAGTGCATACCACACATACAGTCTATTCACCATGCAGCTGCTGGTTCAATGGGGCCTGCTGCTGGACAAAGCCCTCCATTCATGGCATGCCTCAGCCCAGCAGTCACGGTCAAAATAATCCGGCCTTGAAAGGGTTAAGGATTTAGGAAGATCGAGAAAGAATGGCAAAAAAAGTGTGGCTGATTGCGAGGGATGCATAACGTCAAGGTTATGGATTAGACCTTACATGTATGTTGTTTGTGCTCAGCCATGCATAAATTTGTGTCTAGATTACAGATGAAATCATCCACACTGCTGATACCACTGCCTCAACGTAACAATAAAAATTGCTGGCAGATTTTGAAGGATGGAGGCAGTGGGCACCCCTCAAAGGATTTTGGAGGATTGTGGCTGAATGCAATATTTTTGCATGGATAATTGGAGGATTTTGAAAGACTGTGGATGGTGCTTAGAAAAAAGGCCAAGGGGGTAGTGTTATGATTGAAAGTGTCAGAATTTTAGAAATTGTATTCACCACAGGGGGGGGGTGACGATTCGTCCACAGATGAATAAAAAATTGGACAATCGTTTTGGAGGGAAAAAAAATCCATTTTCTCTCCCTTCCCCCCTCCCCCCCCGGAGCTAAGACTAGGACCCAATTTCATGGCACTGCTTAACAGTTAGCAGAAAAGTTGTGCTTACTATGGCAGAAAATTTCACTAACCTTTTTTATACTAACCACACTTTCTTGGTATGGTTGTGCAAACGGCTGTGCATGCATAAAGATTTCCACTGTTACCTCGCTGAGTAAAGCGAGTTTTTTCCTCGAAGGTAAGCATGCCCTATGCTGTGCTTACTGTTCAAGGTCTCCATGAAGTCTGCCATACCTCTACAAGCGGAAAATTGTGTGGCTCCCAGAGTACATGGATACACCTCACTGCTGTCACACAGACAGCCTCGACTTGTTCCCACACTCACCCACTTCTTTGTCCGATATCCCTGCATCCCTGGAGGTCCAACGGCAGAAACCACAGGCCAGGTAGTACACCTTCTTCGTGGTCGCTTTTGAAGGATCACTGGGGTCCGGCAATGCCATGCTGGTGGCCCGCGTCGATAAGGTGTGCTTACAACTTGGACAGTCCAAGCAGTTGGGGCAACTGTGTGGGGAAAAAAAGACGGCATGATCACTGGTCAGTAATAAGGGGAAAAAATCCATCACAGGTTCTGCGATATGATTCTCTTGTACGAGTTACTTGTTACTCTCTGAAGAACAAGATTTAATACTCAAAGTTTTAAAGAATGTCCAAGATCCATTTGTCCAGACAGTCTCAGTAAATGGACTCCAACTCCAGTGCTTTTGAACTCACTGTGTTTAGAGAGTCAAACAACTGAAATTACACACCAAACTGAAATACATAATCTCTAACTGTAACACTTGGTGGCGCTTTCATTCTGAAATTTTACTCAATTCTGGTACACATAAATAATGGCTGTCCGACTTATGAGGCATCGACTTATGAGGCGTCAGATTTACGGACCAAAATAGAAGTAAATTAATATTAGGACTTGATAGGCGTCGGACCTGTATAGGCTTTATTTGGCTACGAATGAGATCTTGTCTGACTTAAAAGGCCTCAGAATCACAAGTGGATCCCAAGAATTACTTCATTAACTCGGACTCCATTCACATGAAACCCCATCCTCTGAAGTAATAAGGCAAGTGTTGACAAATCGAAACCAGATGGTTGCCAAGTGATACATGAGACAGGCGGCAAATGGCAAAGGACTTCAAACACACTTTGAACAGGCAAAAAAAAAATTTTAACCATGGCCTATGTTTTTAGAGCAGACCCCTAAATTTCCAATCTAGACCTGCTCGTAGACAGTAACTTTTCAAATCCCTACCGGTTTTTCTTAATTCTAGCTTCGGCTGATGGCATGTTCTCCAAGCAGTTTGGGCAATAGTGGGAATCCACCTGCAGGTAGCGAAACAGAAGCGTAAATCAACAGCTAAAAACATGGGACAAATGCACAGTGACATTCACAGCATCTCAGTACCATTAATTAAACGGATCCTGCAAATCAGTGTCACTGACTTTCAAGAGTTCCATACACATGTACGAAAAATACTAATTTTCCCTTAAAATGTTATGACAGTCATCAGAAAGGGATAACATGTCCAAAAAGGTGAACTTTAGCTAACAAAATTCTGAAGCATTTACGTGTACTTAGAAAACACTTATTTTTTTCAGACAAGTCTCATTATACGTTTGTGAACAGGGGCGTCTAATGTTGTCCGTATATGGAACTCTTTCCTTAACTTTTTCCCAAAGCTTTATATAAACCCTGGGGTACATATCCCATAAATAAAAAATGTTAATATCAGGAATTTTTCTCTATTTCCTGGTCACATCGATAGTTTGTATTTAATTGCAAGCAAAAACTAAAAGTTTTGCTGGGACATTACTGGCCTTGTTCAGCTAAGATGAAGGCACCAAATGAATAAGGCATTTTTGGAATGTTTTCTATTATTCTTCAGACTCGGCGGCGACCATCATTGACGCTTTGAAGTGCCTGGGTTACAACTCCTTCTGTGTCCTTTCTCCATGGGCTAATGCATGTCCCAACATCGTCACATGACTGTAGTTTGGTACCCAACCTGATCAGTTATTTTCTGATACCAAAAACTGTACTACTAATACTACGCAAATGCAAGGCTAAAGAATCAATTCTGAAGGTCGGGATGGCATCACTAAATCTTGATTCTTCTCTCTGATTGCTCAATTGATGGCTGTATATCTCAATCAAAACTCAAAGGGGTAAAAAAAAGTGTTGCGGTCTATGGGGAAAATCTGAATTATTGATTTACGTGACTAAACTCTTTTTTAACTTAACTCTTATAACTTTACATCAAATGTGCATGAAATTTCGCTATTTACATGCTAAAAACATCTTCCACACTGTACTGAAAAGGTTTCAGTTATTTTCTCATACTGCTGCAAAAAGCGGAAAACTTCCCTGTAGAAGGTGAGTTGAGAGTTGCCCCTTTGCCAGACGTCGAGCATGTCGAGTGCAATAAATGGAACAACCTCCGACATCGAGAATGTCCGTGACGTGAAATAACATGCATGATGAAGCCTGCCTATGGAAATCTTCAACCCACAAAATTTGCCCAATCTTCCCCAAACCTACGAACCTCGTGTGATACACAACGTCCACATCTCAGCTTTAGGCAGTGTTTACAGAAATAGAGCTTTGTAATAGGCGAACTGAGGCCGCAAGAACACTGAATTTGCACCCGATGTGATTCCAAGAGAGTCGCCATTTTGGGCTTGGTTTTTCACAATTCGATCGATAATTAAACCACCAGAGGGCGCTACGAATGTCAGCCGATCTAGTCTATGGATACGACAAACTTGTCCTAGTCCCAAAAATTACACAACAGTAGTCAACTCTCTTTCGTTTTCAGCCAAAATGCCTTAATCACCTGAAACACAACTAAAACATTAATTGAAATTGCTAGCAATCCAGTGTGAGAATTTTTTAAGTGACACAATCGATTCAGAGCATTCTTTATCCCTCAAACTGAACCCTAGCCGTAATAAATGATAAATGGTACCAACTGTACGAGAAGCCAAGGTTTATTGCCCTGCCCGTCAAGTAAGAGGTGAACGTGAACAAGAGGAAACAACTTTCATTTTGTAAATAAATGTAAACGGGGTACGTTAACTCTTACAATCTTCTATCGATAGCAAGTGTAACACAGACTTGCGCCAATTAGCCGATATAATATATATATTATATGTATACATTATGTCAAATTTTCGTAAAATTGGTGCAAAAATGACTGAAAAAATTACTCTAAAAGGTCCCAAAGGCTTAAATCCTGAAAAAAATTGCACTGCGGCGATATCAGAAAAATGTTGAGGATTCCACCCCCAGCATTTTAGGGTTAACAGTATTATTATTATTTATTTGACTATCACAAGAACAAACAAAGCAAAATTTTACAAAAAGTACATTTATATAAAAAAAAAACAGTAAAACTACACATATAAGTAAATATTAGCAGTAGCAGGGACCAGAGACAAACCGAATACATATACCAAGACAAGTAACAGTATGTTGGTCAGGGACTGCAAAAGTAAAATAAACTACTATTACCCGCGGGTATGCAGCCCAGCAAAATTTAAATGTTAAAAATTTTATTAAACTAAATGGTCTCATCTAATACGGAACAAGTCGCTCCCTTGGGTATGAGACATAATTGGTCACATGAAGAAGATGTGAACTGACCAAAACTGACATGTAGTCAAACGTCAGTGCTTAAATCGTATCCATCCGTGACACTTTGCTATCTACACTCGATCAAGGCGTTCGTCATTCGTCGCATCGCAGCGCACGGCAGTGCGCACCTGCCGCTTGAAATCAAGGCTAAGAAATATGCAAATCAGTTGCAAAATGAATATCTTTGACTTGAACTTGTTCGTTCAGTTAACCTTTTACAGTGAGTACCAAAAACCAGCCCCTTTTCCCGTTTTTCCGCTCAGAGCAGATTATGTTCTAGCCTGGTTTCCTGCGCAAAGATTCCCTGACGATCCTTGATAAAGAATCTTAGGTCAGCCATCACTCACAGATAAAAAACAATGCAACGCAGTAAAAATCAACTCGTACCGAAACGCACTCGTATCCAGGGGTGTTGGATCTTGGATGGTATTGGTGCGTTGTCGTGTGATTGCATTTTCGTGGGAGGCTTCAAGGCAAGTTTTCAGCGTGACCACCATACACTTGCTGCTGTGGTCATACACCAGAAAGAAGCTTTAATTATATACGATCCACAAAACTGAGATGAACCAAAAGTAAAGAAAATTGTTGGCCTGTGGTGTAATACTGATAGAAAACATGCACGCTAGACTTTGGTCTCACGTCACTTTTTATCTGCCATCATTAGAGCACATAATGCAGAGCGCCCTCTGTTGGTGGGTGGTGGTTTACGGATTGCCGTGTTACTCTTTTCTGAAAACTACAAAGAAGATTAATCATTGCTATTTCAGCATTGATTATAGCATGAACTAGTACTAATTCTGTCTGTAAAATCAATCAAAAATATGATAGTGACGAAGTGATCAAATGTCATAAACTCAGTGGACGATATTTCCCTCTGAATTCGAGCAAAGTAGGTATGAAGGCTGACATTTTTTATTCAGCCTAAGTTCTTCCACTACACGCCATGTGACGGCATTTTCACCAGATCCGACGTTATGTCAGCTACTGATGCACAACCTGGTAAACAAACAAAAAATATAAATATTTGACTAAAATCATTAGCGTGATGTATCTGGTATAACGTTTGAAAATAACGAGGAATACATGGTGAGCTGTGTGTCAAAATATAAGAAATGAGCCCAGATGGTATCCCCCTCATCGGTTGAAAAGAGCCATGTTGGTCAGGGGCTCCCATTTTGTTGGTGGCGATGCGACCGTAACGCGTGCCTTTCACAGTCGTTGATTCGCGAACTGGCGAAGTTCAATTCCGACCAAAGGAGTCTCCGTTGCTAAGAAAATGATGTACTCTCATTGTTCAGCTCTAGGCTCATGTTAATGTTGCTCATATCAGGTCGAGTTGAACTTGGTCCTGACTGACCAGAAACATCACATGCCGACTCCAACAAGAGACCGATCAGAACTCCCAAGAGAAAACTCAACCACAAACTGACAACAGTCAAGGCAAAATCGACCTAAGCCAACCCGAAACCACCCCCCCCCCCAAATCTGGCACAGACTCAATAATCTTCCAGCATTCATTTTGTCTACTTTCTCTCTGCCCGGACTAATCTGCGTTGCATTATTTTGGGGAAAATCATCGCAAGAACTCTGAACAATTATTATAATAATTTTACGTCTGTCTTAGAATTTTCATAGTCGTGGGTGGACCGTAGAAATAAATACCGTGGAAAAAAGTCACGCACCTCGGTCATCTAAAACCGAAACCGATCCCACCCGACTGAAAAGGCAGTAAAATTAATCCGATACGACTGCCAGTCGGTTTAGGGTCAGGTCGGTTTCGGATCAGGTTTGCACAACACTATCATACCACTCAACGCCATAGCTCTGCTCAACTCATCTCGAAGGATTTCCAAGACCTGCGTAACTCCTGCTGCGCCCTGAAAAAAATGAAAAGACAGACAAATGAATTACATTAATTCTCAAATTCGAACGAACAATGACTTCTAGACTTAAGGTCGGTTCACACGTTGCGAAAAAGCGAACAGAAGCGAATTTATGAGGGCGGGACAGCTGAAATATTGGCGCCACGAATTTGAAAAAGGGGAACACATTTCAACTCGAGAGAAATTTCGCTGCAAATCTTTCATGACGTAAAATCTGCTTCGCTTTCACGTTCGCCTGTAGCATGGCCTTGTCTGAATCATTTGGCTGCGGCTTGAAATTACACACGAGTCTGCTGTAGTGGCCGCGGCCAGTGCCCGTAGAGTTGTGTGACTTCCGGCAGTAGCCAAGTGTTTCGAACACGGCCAGTGAACCGACCATTATATATGTTTGTTTAATAAAAGAGGAAAACCTGGGAAAGATCAATAGGGGAAATTGAACGAACGTATGAAATTCCTCTCTGACGGTTCATTATTTTCCGGGTAGGAAACACAAAAATCATATCGAAGTTAGAAGTTCAGTGGGAATCTGGAAAAGCAACACTTTCACTGTATTTTGCTTACTTGTTCTAGAACATGTTTGCAGAGAGACAGAGTGATCGTTAAACCTACATCGTATGCGAGGCCCCAGAGTGCCGGTCGGCCGATGAACACGGCCCGTGCGCCGAGAGCGAGAGCCTTGAGGACATCGGTGCCCTGACGTATTCCTCCGTCGAGATACACCTCGATATCAGAGCCACGCACGGCGTCGACCACCTCGGGCAGTGCGTCTATCTGTGGTGGACAATGACAGGAATTCAACCATTTTTCACTGGCTCTCTGGTTCTAACGTCTTGAAGTTCGTGGATATCATTATGACGGTGAAACTTTTATTTGAAAAATTATCAATCTCGCAGATCTTTGCTATCTTGAAAGCGGGTTTCATGGAAATCTTAACCCGTAATGCAACAGAACAGGGCAGTCTCCCATATTCAGCGTTGTTTATACCTACACAACCAACTCGTGTAATAATGTCACATTTTGTACGGTGATTTCAACTAAGATCCAAGCGCTTTCTGTTATTAATACCCCTGGTCATTGGGCCCATAAAAACATCCAATATACCATCTCAGCTCCCTGAGGAATATACAGCTCCATACAGCAATTTCGGCACAAAGCAGCTAAATCAAACACAACAGCTATCCCTGCCCTCACTGGTACCCAATTACTCCAGGGTGGGGGAAAGCAATGAGTGGACGACAAAGTGCCTTGCCTAAGGGCATGCGCAACCATGACACCAGGCTGAACTCCAACCTGCAATAGTGCAGCTTTATATACCCGCTGTTTACGAATCCAATGCTCTTATTATAACAACGAGGCTGCGCCTGCTTCTCACAGTCACGTGATGTGGTGTGGCAGGCACATTTGACATTCATGGCAGCTATAGGGTGCGTTCGATTAGCTTACATGTGTAAGTCAAACTTACACGAGAGCGTTCGTTTAGCCATCACGTGATGTTCGTGCCTGCCCTGGTGTCAGCCACCACTACCCTAGCTGGCTAGCGGGTCTCTTGAGGCTGCCCGAGTGTAATGACGTCACGGATGGACTGTTTGAGCATGGACGTACATGATGGAACGTGGCGGGGACTTGACCATTTCCCCAGAATGCATTGGAAAACACACTGCAGCGTTCGATAAGCCTCATTTTTGAGGCTTCCCTTGAGTGTAACACTGGTGTGTTCAGGGAAGCTAATTGAACGCACCCAACGTATACAACGCCATGCTTTCAGATTCAAAGGTTTCCCCCGAATTCCTTGCTTCCTCGCCACCTTTATCTTCATTGCGGAGCGCCTGCTGAAGCTGAAATTCGTCGAAAGGCCTATAGTGACCGTAAACATTTTCAACATTTTTACCGAAGCTGACACACCGTCCAGTTGTCGGCCACCGTGATTCGAAACCCAGATGGCGGACGCACCACGCCTGACTGCTTCCTTCGCATCTTCAGCTGCAATGTGAAAATTGATACCAATTCGTAAATTATACATTTCGAGCACACCTTTCAAGACCTTTCATTTCTCCATACCAGCCAAAGACAACAGGACGCGGTTGTCACCTGAAAACTAACGAGGGAACTTTTCGAAAATGGGCACTGGAAACTATTACAAGGACATTATCCTGGTGCAAAATGTCATAATGTTTAACTCACCGGTTAGAATGCCTTTAAGAATGATTGGTAGAGAGGTCATACTCCGTAGCCATTCAATGTCATCCCAGGTCATGGAAGCGTCAAAACTCAAATTTTTACTATGAAAATGAGGATCATTGGGAAGAGAGATAAGCGGGCATCTGCAAAACAAATAAATGTTTGCATTAAGCATTGTTCAGTCAGAGCCAACTTTATAAATTTCGTCACTATATTCAGTTCATCGCCCTCCCAATGAGACGCACTGCGCTTTTAAGCCACGCTTTCCCTTGATAGTTGATCAAACGTTCGTTTTGGCTTTTCCACAAGTTGCGGAAATGGCACTCTTTTTGTCAAGGTTTTTTTATGTTTTCGCAATTTTGCAAAAGTCTTTCTGTTCGTCAGGATTTTTTTGGGGGGGGTTCTTTTTTTTTCTTTTTGGGCCAAAAGCCCATAGACTTTGCACACGCTTTTTCTTTGCTGCACTTTTGCCATTAATTAACCTTTGTCGCACAGCATTCAAAGTTGACATGGGCATAGTCATTATTGCATAAATATATGCCGAAGAGTGGCATCATGATGACGTCATCCAGTTATTTATTATTGACTTTTACATATTTATTTCAGCGTCTTGACTTTGTACAAGTTTTCAAGGCTCAATTTTGGTTAGTTGGCGATATTTATTAGTCATCAAAGTTACAGCCCGCAAAAGACCATGATGCAAAACAAATGCCTAATTTATGGCGTAATGATGACGTGTCACCTTATTATTGGTTTTTGAATATTTAATTTTCCCCAAATGTTTTGTACACGTTTTTCTACTTCACACAAGTGAACGAGGAGTCCTTTACTTCGGCTCAAGATTACTAAAAGAACGAAAGAAAAATCGGGCACTTAACGCTCTGTTGATTTGAAATATGTCTCAGAGTCTGAATGTGAAGTAATATTTCATAAAAATTGTTCAGTTTAAGTGCAAATCACGTGACATGAACTTAAAGGAGCAGTGTTTCTGCAAACGAGTTTATGGCCCATTGACTTTGTACACGTTTTCGAGCCACTAATTTGGTAACCTTTTGATGTTTGATCGTTTACAGAGTGATAGCCAACAAAGACCCTGATGCAAAATTTATTGAAAATGAATGACGTCACGATGACGTCATCACCTTATGTTGTATTGATATTTGAATATTTTATTTTTTCCCATAGCTTTTGTGCACGTTTTTGACTAGGCATGAAATCTGTATTAAAACTTCAAAGCCTTTTATCTCCTAAAGGACATGTCCCATCTCGTTGAAATTTTACAGATAACTAGGAAAAAAAGTGTTACAGACGAATGTTGACCTCCTGTGCTGATTACGTCATCGCGGGTAAGTCACGTGACGTTAAATGTGCACTCTTTAGGGCCCTATATCTCTTGAAGTACATGTCTGATCAGATTCAAACTTTTGCAGATATCTTGAAAATGATGTGCTTTAGAGGAATATTGACCGTTTGTGATGATGACGTCATCAGGAGACAAGTCACAGGACATTATTAAAGGTGCTCTCTTTAAGGCCCTGTATTCTGAAGCAGAGTGTCCGATCGGGTTCAAATTTTGCAGATATCTTGAAAAATGAGTGCTTTAGAGGAATTTGTGCCTGATGTGATGATGACCTCATCGGATGTGGAGTCAAATTACATTTTATTTAAAGCACGTTATTTCTTGAGGTACACATGCCTGATTCTGTTGAAACCTTTGATCCAAATGGTCATAATGACAGATTTACGCCATTAGGGTTGTGCAGTAGATTGATTGTTCAACTTAAGAAAAGGATGCGATAAAGCCCTCTGTTCTGTTGGCAATCAGACAGATGACCTCTCGTTTTACTTTTCTTCTTCTTCTTCTTGTTCTTCCGTCAAAACCCCGTTCGTTTCGTACAGGGTTTTTCTGCACGCCACTTCAGTCCCTTTGCAAGTTCGTATCTTCATCAAAGTTGCCTCAAGTAAAGACCTAAATGGTAAAGATGTGCTACGGGGGGGTGACGTCGTGATGACGTCATCGTCCTTTTTTAATTCTGAGTATTTATTTTCCCCATGGTTTTGTACACGCACTTTTTTTTAAAAAACAGCCGGACATCGGCACATTTACCAATGTGACTGATTATATATTAGGTGTATACTCTTCGTCCACCAGATACAGAGGGTCTGTCAAGAAAATTGCGCTCATGATGTCATCAGGTGTCACGTGACAGGGCATTTAGTTTGCAAACTTTGAAGCCCTATATCTCCTGAAGTAAATGTCCCATTGAGATGAAACTTTGCAGATATCTAGAGGGAAATGTGTGATACACGAAAATTAACACCATGGGATACTAACGTCAATAATTTTGAAGTCACGTGACAATAAAGGTGCAACCTTTCATGCCCTTTAACTTTTAAAGTGATTGTCCCAGCCGGTTGAAACTTTGCAGATATCTGGAAGGGTATGTGTGATAGGGTAAAATTGACCTCATGGAATAATGACGTCATCAGTTGACAAGTTACGTGACATTTACGATCCACCATTTAAAGCCCCATATCTCTTGAAGTACATGTCCCAGTGGGTTCAAACTTAACGGATATCTGGAAGGGGATATGTGAGAGAGGAAAATTGACCGCATAGAATGATGACGTCATCAGTTAACAAGTCAGTAAAGATGACATTGACGTGACAATGAAGTGACGTGGACATTAAAGTTGCATCACTTAAAGCCCGATATCTCTTGAAGTACATGGAACAGCGGGTTGAAACTTTGGAACGGGATGTGTGATAGAAAAAAATTGACCCCGTGAAATGACGACATCATCAATTGACAAGTCACGTGACATTAAAGGTGCATCCTTTAAAGCCCTATATCTCCAAAAGTACATGTCCCAGCGGGATGAAACTTTGCAGATATGCAATCACAACGATAACATTTTCATTGAAAAGCAAAAACCCTACGTTCTGTTGCAAACAGACATAGAAGCTCTCGTTTCAGTCAGAGTTTGTGCCCGTTGCAAAGAAAAACGGACACAACAATGCCAATATGGCTTCTGACGTTCAGAACCGAATTAAAAGGTAACAGACTTGTGCACCGAATGTAATAACCGCGATAAGACGATCAACTACCACTGTGTTTATACTTATGAGTACATGTAATTATGCTCCAATCAAGTCATATGCAGTCCTCTTCCATTGTTGGAAAGGCCACAGTGGTATTTTGCCCCACCACCACCCCAATGGCCAAAATTTGTGTAATTAAACCCCATAAACTTTCACAATGTAGGCCTAAATGCTACGGTATGTCATACCCGACTAATATTTAAGTCTGCCAAGAATCATGTCTCTCGGGTAGTAATTAAATCCATGGTGATTCTTTCGTACCTGTCCAGTGGTGTGTATAACAGCTCGTCACCATGACAACAATCGTAAAAGAAAAACAAAGCATTGTCGATAGCAGGGATCAGTTCAAGTCATAGGTTCAAACCCGCCACGTCGTGCCCCTCTCAAACTCGAAACTGTCACTGGTATACATATTTATACACGTACTAGGCCTACTTGGTGAAGTATCCCACAATTCAACACAAAAACATGGCAGCTTAGTTGAACTATGTGAAGGAAAGCAGATGAGGAGAGTTGATGTTGTACAATAGTTCAGACAGACCTATGAATGCTGGGGCTAGTAATGTGAAATAATGGACGGATACTTGGATAGGTGTGGACGTCTGTTGCTGTCGAGAGTTCGAATTTGTTTTACACATTTTACATCCCTTTTGATCCAGTTGTGCGCCTCAAAAAAGGTGTTTCGTTTATTTACCACATATTGCGCATGCTCGCCTATAAACTCATGTGACAACGTCACAAATAAGCGCGAGAGAAGAATCCGAACACGTGCACAGCTCCGAATGGTCATGGGTACTTACGCTGTTGGGGTACACATTTTTAACCGCATCAGTCTTTTCTTCCGTTACCATCACTGACACTTTTTTTTTTCCATATCACTGTTTGAACATTCGAAGATCGTCATTTTTTAGCAACAGCGTTTACTACAAAATGCACGATACCTGTACTTCATGATAAAGTGACGTGCTTTCAACACGCTTTCACGATGCTCCTTATTAGTACTTTGATAGCTGGGAACGAGTTTTAAACCTTTCAAATGTTCTCATGGCGAAACGTTAATTGATCAAATTTTGTATAAGAAGCGTTTGCCGCAGCAGTAATAATGAACAGTATGTACATGTATACTTACTTGATATAAGGGGGTATGAAAATTGGTTCAGCTAGCCGCCTGCCCCTAACCGGCTGATCGACCGTCAGCACAATGCCCTTCAAGCCTGCCTTCTCGGCTCGTTTTATTATGTGCTTGGTGTACTCGACTGTTCGCTCCAAGGTTTGACGGTCACAAAACACGTTTAGTTGTTGGAACAGCGGTATTTCGGACGAAAGTGGGGCGGTTACGTCTTCTAAGTCGTTGCTTGAATATATGCTCAGAGCCATTGCTGACCCAACACTGGCCACGCCTATAGAAGTAACGATGTGAGATTAAGCCTATGTGAAATAGAGCGACGTTACGGGTGAACGTTTCGACTAAATTGACGACGGGCATTTTTTTTCTCATACCACAGTCATAATGCGTTGGTCCTTGTTTAAGACACAAATTTTTCACATACGATGGCTTGTGAAGAAGAAACCTCTTTTCTTGCACTGAAGTTTTGATATTTCACTGTTAACTTCCTAAACCCTTAAAATAACCAGTTACTTTTCTGCAGGGACCTCACATGCGTGCCCTATTTTGTCAGGAAAAGCGTGGGGAAATTTTCAGTGCTTTAAAAAGGTGCGATTTTCAATGAGTAACCAACAACAGAATGTCCAAATAGTTTACGACAGTTGTGCGGAGTAGAAAGTTACGGTACAGAGATTAGTTTTCCGAGTAAAATTGACATGGCCCTTTAAAAGTTCCATCCCCTGTTTCCTTCCCTCTTCCAAAAGGCCACAGAAGTCCCACTAATACGTAAAACTAAACAGGCCTATTCTGCCATTTTGAAAACAAGAACTGGAGAATTTGTGTCTGGTACCGTGTCTGTGTTTTACCTTTAGCCATAGCAACGTCTCCCTCGGGATGCACCATGCCCTGAAAGGCTGTCGGACAGACACCAACTGGAAAGTCTAAACGATGGCCCAATATAGTGGTGCTGAGGTCCCGCTTAGATACATCCCGCAAACAGCGAGGCCTTAGTCGATACCTGCAACGAGGATGGAGGAAAAGATATTGATGGAAGGAGTGACATTTAAGTTTGCTCAGTATTCGGTAAATTGATTTGACTTCCGCTGTTCTCTCTATTCACATTGTTGGAAGAGGATATCTGTGTTGGTTTATTTCCGGCAGCAACAACGAATTTCGGGATAAATAATTCTATTACTGTCAGGTATTTAGGAGGCTACAGAAAATTGCTTATTGCTTATTTCTGTCATTTTGAAACGGCGATGGAACTACCCACAACTTCGGTCTAGTCACGAAATCGCTAAATCAGCGACCAAAGTACCGTAGAGATTAGATCCGTAAACAGGGCCCGACGTAGTACCGTGGAGATTAGACCCGTAAACAGGGCCCGACGTAGGCCTATACTCCTCCGTTATATACTGGGCTCTGTCCCGATTCATAGGGATTTCTTTTGAAAAATTTTATCCGGGTTATCCTGGGGCATAACCAAACATCCGCTTGATTTTATGAGCTGAAATTGCACCGGTATGTTCACTACTTACGGGGTAACCTTTCCCCAAGGTTGCTAATTGCAGAAAAATCGCCTTTTCCTCGTTTGGAGGAAAAAATGTTGCCTTTTTGTTGCCTTTTTCCCACTCCGGACGAATTTTACCCCACTTGCACAAACCTGACGGCTGTTTCGTCACTCTCGTGTCACTTTACAGAAAGCTAGCTGCGCTATCAATGATTTGCCGCAAGCATTGAGTGACTTGACAGGGCAACCAGGCGTTGCGTATTAGCTGCGACAGCCAACATACATGTACATAATTTTCCACGACTACTTAGATCGACAGGTACTCTCGCAGATCTGAACGAAATTCCGATAAGTACTGAAGCTTGGGTGCTAAGTACCATTACTTAACCATACAATTACAAAGGAGTCTGTATAGTGTACAAGTCAGACCAATATTCGTTTGTGCAAGTGGGTTAAAATTCGTCCAGAGTAGGAAACAGCAACAAAAAGGCAACATTTTTTGCTCCAAACGAGGGAAAAGCGAGTTTTCTGCCATTAGCAACCTAAGGCATAGTTTACCCATTAACTTGTGAATATACCGGTGCAATTTCAGCTCACAAAATCAAGCGGATGTTTAGTTATGCCCAGGGGTATCCTGGATACATTTTTCGAAAGAAATCCCTATGAATCAGGACAAGGCCCAGTATATAACGGAGCAGTATACATATACGTCGGGCCCAAGCCCCGACGGTTTCAGGTCTGTGAAGAGACGCGTTCAATTTTCGGCTGTCGCGATCGAAACTCCCGTATACCCTCCCCTAGATGGCCTGGACATGACGCAGCTAGGCTACACCGAGTCGCTGTCACAGTTCGGCTTTATTCTTGCATCGATTGTGAATACAGCCACACGTAAATAGCCACATCAGTAATCATGCAGGGCGGCTAATGACGGACGGAACCATCCAGTTAGAAGGTCCAACAAGGAATTACTTTTGAAAAGCCAGTACGTTGTCAGCCAAAGTCTGTTGGGCGTCTGCTCCCCGTTGGAAGTACTCCCACCACGTCCCAGGGACTTTTTTCTTCAGATACGGCTCAAAATCCTGCAGAATGAGCGGTTTTGATGTCATGATGACGCGTCAAAACGAGCCTCAAAGCCCAGAGTACTGTAGACTGTGGATCCAACTGTAGGTCTACAGTTGCAACGAAACAAACTGGAATTAGGCCTACTGTCAGTAGTAGTCAAGCGTCACTGCACCGGAAATAATCGCTGTAAGGTCATGTGTAATGCTCTGTGTACACATGGAGGATATTCCTTCCTCCATAGTGTACACATGTACACTTGTCTTTGACGGTCGTTTTATGACTTCCAAAATACAGAAATATCATCTTACAGCTCCGAGTTACACATGCAGCCACACACATGAAGCCAAACCACGGTGGTTGTGTTTGTATCGCGCATGCCCAGTGTGTATTAGACTCGCGTTGCAGCCGTTCATCGGTCTATCAACAGTAAAAACACCACTAACTTGTGTGAATTGCGATAGTCAAGCGGTTACAGCATAATGGTTGTGAACCGTGGTTTGGCTTCATACGTATTGCTGCATAGATAGCTCCATCTTCCTTGACCTGTGGATGGACGAAGTCTGGGCACTAAAGCTGTATATACTGTACATATATTAGAGAGAGCACCCCGCACTCGAACTTTCAGTTGGAACCAAACTGGTCAGTCATCTGGGAACTGGTCGTTCCCAGCCCACGCACGGCAATGTCTTTTACTTGCTACCCAAACTTCTTTACTCTGCAAGATATGCGGCAAAGGGCGGGGACCCCCCCCCCCTGTGATACACAAGCTGTGTACCCTAACACTATTGTGCCTACTGCAACCCCCTCAAAAATCTGAAAGGAATTCCAAAGATTCCAGCAACACAAAAGAAGAAACAATACAGGGGACCCCTCTATTGTTTGCCGCATATCGTGCATTATATGCAAAATTCAAAAATCCGGTAATCCAGGCCACCCCATTGTGTCTGCCTGAAGTTGTCCCACTGAATTGATATCCAACTTCCTGGACACCAGTCTAACACCCATTGTCAAAACGCTCCCCACTACGTCAAGGATACTGATTACGCTCTACGTCTGTTCGATGAATTTGAGTTCCCAGGTTCATCCAACTTTCTTTTCACCATGGATGTGAAATCGCTTTACACATCCATTCCCCACGCGGGTGGTTTGGCTGCGCTCAAACACTTTCTAGATCTCCGCCAGACTCGGGATCCTCCTACCAGCACTCTGCTCCGTCTGGCTGAGTTGGTGCTCACGTTGAACAACTTCGCGTTCAACGGTGAGCACTACATTCAGACCAGGGGTGTGGCTATGGGCAAACGGATGGGACCAAGTTATGCCTGTCTGTTTGTTGGCCACATCGAGGAGCAGATGCTCACTCAGTATCAGGGCGTGCAGCCGTTAATGTACCGGCGATACATCGACGATATACATGTAGTTGGTACTATCACCAGTACGTGTGATGACGTTGAAAATTTCTTAGCATTTGCGGATGCTTTTCACCCAGCACTGCACTATGCATCTGATGTGTCAAAACACTCTGGGTGCGTTCGATTAGCTTCCCTGAACACACCAGAGTTACACTCAAGGAAAGCCTCAAAATGAGGCTTATCGAACGCTGCAGTGTGTTTTCCAAGGCATTCTGGGACAAAGGTCAAGTCCCCGCCTCGTCCATGCTCGAACAGTCCATCCGTGACGTCATTACACTCGGGCAGCCTCCAGAGACCCGCTCGCCAGCTGGGGTAGTGGTGGCTGACACCAGGGCAGGCACGAACATCACGTGATGGCTAAACGAACGCTCTCGTGTAAGTTTGACTTACACGTGTAAGCTAATCGAACGCACCCTCTCTTACCTTCCTCGACGTGCGCGTCCAGATCTGTGCGCGAAAACTTGGCACAACTGTCATAACAAACCCACAGATTCCCACAGCTACCTGCAGTACCAATCGTCCCCCCCCCTCAAGTGTAAGAACTCCATCCCTTACTCTCAGCTTCTTCGACTGCGTAGGATTTGTAGTAGCGATGCGGAGTTCTCTTCTTTGGGTCAGTCACGTATGAAAATTGATCACATCAAATATCTAAATAACCTTTTCTCATTACAACCTTCCAGAGTTACAAGGAATGTTAAATGAACAGTTTTTAGGGACGGTATATTTAATCCTGTTGGAAAGGAAGTTGATTTAATGAATCTTTTAACCCGAGAAAGTGTGTTTGAATGCATGGCTTCTTTCATTTTGATAGATGCAGGCAATGTGCCTGTTGCAAACTGCTTTGGTGAAGCGCGCCCTCTCTGGCCAGATTGCTCGCAGCGCAAGCGCCACTCCCCCCCCCCATGTCGGGAGGCGGATTGGATGACTGATTTGAGTGATGGAACTACCTGCAGTATTTTAATCCACCAACTGAACTGACATGTCATGTATTGTGGACGGCCATGACCACGAAATACAGTTACATGTGAACACATTAACCAATGAATATTAGCCTCAATAGTCTTCCGTGCCAGAATAAATTCTTTGCATTGTAGGACATGTTTTTCTTCAAACAACCTTCGTGTTTTCAAACACCCAAGCAGAACCACTCAACTACAAATTTAGTCTGGCAGTCCATGGCGTCTGACCGCGCGTTCATAATGTAGGCCTACCTCCGATTTACGCGCCCGTGGCTGTGCAGTTCATATCACGGATACAACGGCATCAGGCCTGGGCCCCAACTTCTTGTACACGTTTGCCACGCCAAGACTGGCTTGAACTTCGACAGATTGACCCTCACATATCTGCAATCTTTCCAAACGGGCCTGGCTTTGTGCCACGAAACTTCTGAAAGTAACTGGTTAGACAACTGGTTGCCTGTGGTCCATAATGATAGAAAACACGCACGTTATACTCGTGTCTCATATTACTGTTTATCTGCCAAGTTAGAGTACACATTTCAGAGCTTATAATATCTTTATGATATAAAAATGATTACCATTTTTAATCTTTTCCAAAATCAACCAAGAAGAAGATTAATTATTCCTACTTTTAGTCCTGATTATAGCATAAACTACCACAAATTCAGTCTTGTTAAAATCAGCAGTCAAAAATATGATTGCAATGAAGCGGTGGGAGCTGGAACGCGACCACCATGCCAAAAACACGGAGACACAAAACTAATATGAAGTTGCAAAACGGTGATAAAAGGTGTTCTGCACTGGTCCCCCGACCCTAGAAATTTTCGAATCCCCCTCCTCGCCGTTGTTGGTCATTCACTCCCCTACCAGTGTATCACATCTTGTCATCCGTGGTTCCCAGAAGTGGCTCATTTCAAGCGAGTGCGTCGATGACATTGGCCGAAACCGACCCCCACAAACTCTTGTTTGGTTACTACGCTGTCGCAAGTGATGCCTGCAACAGTCCGTCCAGTGGTGGCTTTGAGGTTTTTCCTGGCACTTTGAACCCTGACTGAAAACGCAAGAGTCAGTTCGTTCTGGTGGTGTCCCCTTAACACATGCTTTGAACGAAAATCCAATTTCCTAAATTTAGTAGACGATATCTCCCTCAGAATTCGAGCAAAGACGGTATGAAGGCTGACATTTTAAGTCAACCTGTCATGGACGCTACTCTAAGCCCTTCCACTACACGCCGTGTGACGGCATTTTCACCA